TGTCTCTATATATGCATTTGTGAACTGTTATTTACGATATTTGTAATCATTTTTGTTTAATCACTTTATTTCGACTTTTTTTGCTAATTATGTTTTCGCTCGAACTTCGTTAAAATCTTAACTGTACCCCGAACAACGACCGAAGTTGTAGGAAGAAATTCGCCTATTTTACCGATCTAGGTATCGCCCTTTTTCAAATTTTAATATCGACTCGAAATAATTTAAAAAGACAAATTACAATAAAACGGTTTATTATCTAACTATCAGAAATTTCCCAACATGCCAAGGAAGAGAGGAAGGAGCAATTAAATAATTAAAATTATAAAGGATTAAAAAATATATATATATAAATGGGGAATATCACGCTTCTGACAATCGCTGTGAGTGTGTGGGCTAAATTTGGAGAATCCGTGCTTCTCGCGTGGACAACTGTATGTGGCTGGCTCATGCGTCGGAAAACCTTCTGATTTATTCGTGTACGCACCAGACGAAAAAACAAAAAATATCGTGTATCAACGAGCACTCCAATAAATAAATAGAATTGAAACAACACTTTGAAATGTTTTCCCGATGAAAATGAATAATAATAATAATAAGTTTCAATGAAAATTTAATTTTATCATAACGAGTTTGCTTGAATTTCGTTTCTTCTGAGATCACAGCAGTGCGCGACGGGTAAGCTAGTTGTTATATAAATGCTTATTTTAGTTTTTTGAATCATTGAGATTAAGGGAATTTTTGACATTTCTGTTCTATAAATTTAGAATTGGATCTTTCTCTAAAATTCACTAATAAATCATTGTACAGTAATACCCTGAACTTATGCAATAGGTGGGATCGAGTGATAACCGCATAAGTCGAATTCGCATAAGTCGGGGTATAATTTCCCAATTTATGTAAAATTCAAGACGGACGTATGTAAGCTAATAAATGTTCTCGTTAATTTTATCTCGTCTTTTGATTTGCTCACGGTTAGAAGAAATCACCACATAGTCTCTCAAGTCTCTGTAGATATAACAAACACAGAAATAAATAACATAAAATAAATTGTAGCTATATGTCAATTCCGCATGACATGTCCGAACATGTAAGCTGAACAATAGTGTGGGGGGAGTGAGTAATCAAGAGTTGCATGGCGCTCAAACAAAAGATGAATCGGCGAGATTTGAAAATCACGTAACTCTGGGTTCGCGTAAGTCAGGGTAGCATATGTCGAAGTATTACTGTATATATTAATTGAATAATAACAACCTCAAAATATTGATTTTGTTATTTTTTTCATAGTTTTGTATTTTATTAAAAAGTTTTCAGCACAAATGATGTAAAGATTCAGTGATTATTTGAAATAAAATGTTATATAGATTAGTATATGTTTCAAACATGTTATACATTATTGCACCTTACAAAATTTTCATGCAATTTTTTAAATAATTTTTATGTAAACATTATCATGTTATATTGAATGCATTGATACAGTCATTATTCTAGAATAATAATCAAATTATGCTCAACTTTGTATTTTCATTTGCTTCATTCATTTTTTTCAGTTTAGTTATGACTATTGACAATTTAAATAAAATTTTCAATAAATGTCAGTTTATATTAATAATAATTTAAAATATTTATTATTATTAAAATTAATACTTATTATAATAAATGAATAATAATTAAGTATTAATTATTATGAATAATAATTAATACTTAATAATTAAGTATTTGATACTTGAATTTCTATTTATAATATAATAATTTATTTTGATTTTCCAGAAAAGTAAATGACGAACAAAAATTACAAATATCAGAGTTAACAGAAAAATTCAATAAAAAGGTTAGTTTCATTAATTTAATATTTTAGATTAAATATTTTAGTTAATGAATAATTCAGAATGTTTTAGTTAATTGTGCGAGTATATATTTTATTTGGAATGATGGAATTTTTGCAGGAAGACATATAAAAAAAGTTAAACTAGAAATATAGTTCAAAGCATTTTAGTTTAGTATTCTATGTACTGTACATATATTATCTAATAAACTGATATTTTTTTAGTATAAGTTGTGTCTAATACATATCTTTTATCCATGTCATTAAAACTGTATAGAAATTAGTATAATAAATTTACAATTTTTAATATCATCAATGTCTAAAGACAGATTGCCTGATATGGACAAGTTGTTGAGGTGCCAGCCTACCACTCTGGGAGATCCAGGAACACATATGAATATGAATTTTTTAAGGAGATAGTCCATACTGGATATGTCAGGCCCTGTCTGTCCTTTGCTGCTTGGCTGGCCCCATTGTGCTCCTGCTGAACTCATGATGGGTTTGATGAAAAGGCTCTTAATGCCACATGATGGAAATAGTAAAAAAATACTTAAGGACATCTAAGAAATTTAAATCAGTGATTACCAAATCATTATCCATTAATCTTATATAATTTGTGATAAATATTAATTTAACATATAATTTTGTTCATAATTTTTAATTACAATAGTAAACATTTTATAAAAATCAAAAATAAACTGAAAAATATTTATCACGCAATGTTCTAAAAAACAAAAGAAATTTAATAAAGTAAATTTGAAAGGGATAATTTTAATTGGATGATTTGTATAATTTATAAACATCAATAAATAAAACCAAAAAATACAATATTGAAAATAGAGGTAAAGAAATGTAACAAATGTACCGTGAAAGCTAAAATAAATACATGAATTTACACCTACATTGTTATCAAAATATTTATGTATTAAATACGCGAATATACAAATGTATTTAATATATAAATATTTTGATAACCATGACAATTGAAGGGATGAAAATCTAAAGGGTCTATGTATCAAAAATGAAAAGTACAGATAAAACAAAATTTGAATTAAAAAAATATTCCTTGTAATTTTTATTTATTCTTATTTGAGTTTACACAAAAATAGACATATAATCTAGAGGTTTTGGTGCAAAACTTTTAACATAAAAATCACATAAAAAAAGAAATTTAAAGCTGGACTATTCTGTACTGTCTCATAATGGTATGTCTTATATAATATAAAGGGTTTAAATGCAAATAGGGCTATCCTTAAAAAGGATATTAAAATAAGACTTCTGCTTTTGTAATTAACTTTTGTAGAATGGTTACTGTTTGGTAGGTATGAACAACATTTTCTTCATGTCCTCAAGTTTTTCCTTGGATATATAGTTCTTGGCTGCTAAAATAGGAAGGATCATATCCTTCAGTTGCAAGGAAGTGTTTTTTTTTTTATTTAAAGATATTAATGCAGTCTTTCAATGATCAAGAGCTTTGATCACTGAAAGACTACATTAAATCCATATATGGTAGTTTGTTTTTCATTAATTTTATCCAAGGATATGCTGAAATTTTCATTTTGTTTGTATTTAAGAATTCAATTGGTGAATTCTTAAATACAAACAAAATGAAGTGTAATTAATATCTATCAAATTGGTCTTTTCTAAACTTAGTTTCAAATGAGTTTTTGAGACAAGATTTACATAATAGTTTCTCAGTGGCAGATGGTTGATAGCATTAATTGGTTTCTTTCTCTTAATCTGTGCAAATCACCATTTTATAATGTGGAGGACTGACTTCTTATAAGGTATTTATGTTGTACTTCATGAAAATTTTATTTATAATCAAGTAAATCAAAGCCATCCAGTTTTTATTTTGTCTTATTCAGTTGTCACTTCAAATTATCATGTTCTTTTATAAAGTATTGTAAGAAGTCATTCTTAAAACTTGTAATAGAATAAACCAAAAACTCCAGATTTACATGTATTGCCTTCAAATTTGCAATCCTGATTTATAATTGCTGAAAGTGATGCTCATTATACAGTTGCTGTTTTGACAATAAACATGTGGAATGTAGACCTGACATCTTTTTAATCAAATCATAGATTAATTCTATAATTTCTTCCACTTTTGACATTAAATTTGCAAATTAATATTTTTAAAATTATTCTATACTTTGTATTATTGACAAATTGGTTATATACTGATTTCTTATAATTATATATAACATGATTTTACATTTCTAAATTCAGGTGAAGGAAAGTCATATTACAGAACAAGAATTAACTGAAACAAGAAGTAAATTATCAATATCAGAACTGTATGTTCAGCAGCTTAGCAATTCTAATACTGAAGAAGGAAGTAGACAGCTTGAAGATTTACATCAAGAAAAATTAGAATTGGAGAAAAAATTATCAGAGGTAAATCTATTTTTAAATCATAATGTTTTTTATTTACAAGGCTGCTTAATTATTGGATTAGTTCTAATACAATAGTTAATCTAGCTTTATCATTTGATCATTAGAATGTTTTGGTTTGGTTGTCTGTATGCAATTTCTATTTACTTATTTTTATATATATATTAAGATAGTAGGTAGAATAATATACAGGGTAATTCAGAAAGAATCTGATTTCAAATTTTTTTAATATTTTTTAAAAATTAACAATTCAGGATAATAAGTAATACATGAATGTAAAGGGCAAATGTCTAAGTTTTAAATTATGAACAATAGATGGTGCTAGTGTGTCATTTATGAAGCTTTTTTGGAGAAGAAATGAAAACTGAACTTTTCCCTTTACATTAGGGGTCCCCAAACTTTTTTCCCGTTGACCCTTTTATAGAATATTTGCCTTCTTATCGACCCCCAGATTAAGTATTTAACAAAAACATTAAGTCATTTTTGTATTTCTGATGTTAAGCTATAAGAAGACCCGCATAACAACCCAACAAAAGAATTTATAGTTCCCATATCTTATAACATCCACCCAATAACATTAACAGAAAAAGGAGATATTTTTTACTGATTTATAATCTTAAAAAATAATAGCAAAATTATGGATAGATGGAAATTTTCCTATGGTTCTTAAACTGTACATGTCATAATACGTAAAATACACAATTATCTTTGAAAAAATAATATAAGTGATATTGGACGAAAAAAACATCTTACTGTCATTTTGCGACTACTACTGAATGCCTTAAAAATATGTTAACATACCTTTTATTTTTATTAAAATAGCTGATATTAGTGGGATGGATGTCTGAAGGGAAGCAGCAAGATTATTGATATGCGGTTGAAAATTGGTAAGTTTTATTCACAAATCACCATGGTTTTTCAAGTTCAATCTGTTCCTCTGTTTTGTCAAAATTGTGTTCATGTGGCTAAAACCAGTTTCAACCATGTATGAAGTTGGGAATGTGAGTAAGAAAGGTTCAGCTTCTGCTCTGAGCTTGGGATATTTAGTGGCAATATTGTTATTGCTCCAAAATTCACTGAGGTTTTTATTTTTAAACAATGCTTTAGCTTCGAGATCTACACATATCTCAATCAGTTCATCTTCTAAGCCAGATTCACTACNAATTTATTAGCGTATTTTGGATTTTTGTTTAGCTACAAAGGGGATACATTAGATTAACAAAACACTACAATCAAAAGTTAGACAGAGATAAAATACGATTTTCCATGATGTTGGAAATTTTCTGTAACACTTAAATACATAGTGTTAAATCAATAAGTGTAGAATTGAGGCTTGTTTTCTATTTTGATCCTCTGATAGTTTAATATATTTGATGAAAAAGTTGTATACTCTTGTTATCATAGTTGGACCTATTTGAAGTAATTTGTGGTACTGTTCTTCCATAGATTTACATACAGTCAAGGTAGAAATATCAAATTATTCTCTTAAATTTATACATTCATTACACATACAAATTAAATGGTAAATGGAAAATTGATCCTGACTCATTCTGCATTGACTATTCTTGATATTTAGATAATTCACATTGACTACTACATAAAAACTGTTCAATCTAAGCTGCATATAGAACCTTTTCATTTTAAGTGGTATTTGAAAATTAATATAATCGTTCAAAGGAGGAAAGCTTAATTTGTGAATGAATGAAATTTTGAATTCTGTAATTTTTTTCATTTCTTGATTGATTGAGTTATTAAACATATTTTCTGCTAAGATAGTAAATCCAAAGTTCCAATCAGCTTTCATATTGTTAAATAATATATGTGATATCTCATATCTGGCCAGCATAAGACTAAATTTATTGTAACAATTATTAGTGTAATTCCTTTTAATCACAGCTAGTCTTTTAAGTTCTTCCAATATGGTATCTATCAATATATTCTCACCATTGGCCATTCTCTTATAGAACTTCATGATCCTTATTACCATAAAAGGCTCTAACTATTGCCTATCAGTGTCGTGATGAATTGCCTATCAACTCCAGGTTTTTTTGTTGCTGGAACCAAAATATAATTAAATGATTCTTGCATGTGATCTATCTCCTTTTCAGTTAGTTTAGTAATCCAAGTCTCCTGCAGTCCTATGATATCATACATCTCTAATAGTTTTTGAAATAAACAGAAAAAAACTTATTTCTAACACCTTGGATATTCCAGTTAATGACCTTAATCTCAGATCTTTTGTTTAATAATGAATATACTTTGTCAAAATTATCACTACTATTGTTGTCAACATTCACAACACTAAATAAATTAGTCAATTGATTTCTATATCTAAAAAAGGTTTAGTATCGACCAAGCAATTATTTATAAAACTATAAGTAATTTTGTTATTCTTATAAATGACATAATTATTTCGTAATAGAATTTGCATACCTTTCTTCTTTGCTTCTATATAAAATGGGATAATTTTGGCTCTACAATCCCTAGTCTGTTGAGTGAGATCAGGAAATAATTGTAAATTGCTATAAATCTTTTCATGGGATGCTTTTTTTGTAGTTATAAAAGACTGATAATATTTGGGTTTTTCTTTGAACAGTACTCAATGTAATTTTTAGGATTGTGGGTTCTTCTTTTCTTATAGTATAATATCCTATTATATCTTCAGCTTTAAATTCTATCAATTTCAGAATCTCCCTAAAGAAATTTGTTAACTTTTTTAATATTCATGTTATCATTCATCAGATAGCCAAATAACATCATATTAAGTTGATTAGTTATATTTAAAATATTATTTGCCATATACTATTGAGCTTCCATTTTCCTGTCTAAGTTCAGTAGAAGTGTTTCTAAATTATTAACCTTTTGTTCCAATGAACCAAGCTTGGTCTTAAAAACCTTAATGTCCTGATGTATCAAACTAATTTCTGTTTTCTCCTCCAAAATCAGTTATAGAACTATGTGAGGATTGAATTAGTTTTGTCAACTGTCGTAAGCTGGCAGTGGTTGAACTATCATCCTTCTCTATCAACTCAAAACAGTTTACTAGTGTGGATTCAAAATAATTTTTCCTCTCTTCTTCATATATTTTTTCACTCCTTTTCATATCCATAGAAGTTGCAGATTGTTTATGGAGCATAGTCCACATTGGCTGATTTAGACACCTCAACAGCATTACTATTACTGGTCAATGGTGGCCATTCTCTCTTCGTTGGAGAATGCAATAAAGGACTTGGATTTTGTTCAATTCCAGCCATAATAAAATCCTAAATTATAATTAAAAAAAATGGAATAGATGGAATGACCTTATTTCATGGTTAAGTCATTTAAAATCCCTACTGACAATTTAAAGCTTGCTTTATAGTTAAAATATATATATCTTATTTTTTCCATCATTTTTTCTTATTATTGATGCTAATTATATATTATTATTTCAAATAGAAAGCAAGAATAACTAGATTACAGAGAGATTTTGAGAAGGAAAGAAAAGAATTGCAAGAAAAAGCACATAAGGAACAGGTAGCATTAAAGGATCAACTGCAAGTTCATATTCAGACTATAGGTATTTTGGTAGCTGAAAAAACAGAACTACAGTCTTCTCTTACTCAAAGTCAACAGAGTGCTAAACAAAAAGCAGGTTTGTTTGAAACTTTTTATTTTAAAATTAATTCTAAATATTTTTTATTTATAGGATATGATAGTTTGATTACTATGCATATTCTTACTGAAAAGTTAGATTGATTGATAAATAATATATTACATATAAATTTTTTAAGAGTCAGTTTTAATATAAATTGTTTAAAAACAAGTTTTCAATCTTTTAATTTAAGAAAAAATATTTTTAATAATTGAAGCCCTTTGGGATATATAGGTTTAACCCTCAGTTTGTAGCATTCTGAAGTATTCAGTTACAAATAATGCTCCATAACATCAACACACATCCATATTGCCAGAAAAAAAGTACACTGGGACATTGCTGATTGCAAAAAATATAGTGAATGACATTTTGTCCTTGATGAGGTGGGTTCCTGAAGCATACCAAGCTTTCTATTATCAGATCGAGGCAGATGACACTGTTGTTGATATGGAAAACATTGATGAATAACACGGAGAAAAATAAAATAATGCAAATAAAAATATTAAGTGGAAATATTTTCTAGTGGATAATAAGTGGAAGTATTTACTAGACGATATTTTTTTAGTTTTCAATAAGCAATGCTGTGAGAATTGCAAAAATTCTTGCATAGTGTTGTTCCACATTACCTTGATCTGCACAATCTTTCTTGTGGGGTTTTTTTTATCAGACAGTTGTAATCTTTTCTGTTTTGAGCATGACAGCCATATCTAAAAGCAAAGTTCGAAGAGAAAAAATATTAATACACATCTATTAATTAGATTTAATGATTTTTTTCAAAAATTCAACTCAATTACTTCAGATATGTGATTGAGGGTTAGCACTATATGTTTCCAAGGGCTTAAGTTCATTATTTTTATCAAATCAGAAACTGTTTATTAAAACTTAGACAATAAACATTTTAAAAATGTTTATGACAATTTCAATCAGTGCCATCTTCCTAATATAGGCCAACTTTATAATCTTAACTTAATGTAGTCTTTAAACTTTTAATAATTATGGAATCCTCATGGCTGAGTGTTATTTTTGCAGAGCTCTAAGAAATAGCATTTAAACTGGTATTCAAACTGTTTTGAAAAGAGAACAAATCTTAACAACATAATAAATACAAAGATTTTATAAATAAAATTTTTGTATTTAATACTGAAAATAAGAATTCTATTAAATGTTGTGTAATATTTAAATTTAGACATTCTATTTTGAAAACTGTTTTAAAATTTAAATTATTAAATATATTAATTTGATTAGCTGAAGTTGAAGAATTTCAAGGCAGATTACGAGGATCTCGGCAAAGGGTTGCTGATCTAGAAAGGGAATTAGGAACTATATCAAGCTCGAGTCAACAGATGGAAAAGGTTATTTTAAAAGTATATGATAACAATCTAAATTTTTGATTTTACGCTGAATGTCTTTTAATTTTTCTTTTTAGAATAATAAAGAACTATCAAAAGAAGTAGACAGATTGAAAATGGAAGTATACAAATTAGGGTAAGCTTTTATTTTCAATCTTCATGACATCATTTTAGAAATTGGCTGAGAGAATAGTGTTTAATTTGCAGTTTCCATAACCACAAAAGTATATACAGGTAACCCTCGTAAAACACAGGAGTTATGTTCCAAAAAATTGCTGTGTTATGTGAATCTGTGTTATACGAAACAAAGAACTAGTACAAAAAGGGGGATTAGGTTCCAAAAATTAAAAAACATGCTATTATATTTTCATTATTGAGATAAATATCTATATTAAAATTTTCTTAAGAAGTGATACATATTAATATAAATTAAGCAATGTTTTCTTTATCATCACTAAGCACTATTAATCAAGGGCTTTTTTTTTGCAAGATATCCTTATCCTCTGAGAATTTTTCTGCATTATCTTCAGATCCATGCTCTACCTTTTGCAAAAAATATGTTATTTTAGATTGCTTGCTTTTAGTTAAAAAATCTTTATAAATTTCCTTATATGGTGCTAAGCACTTATGAAGAATAAAGCAAGTATGGAATAAGGGAAAAACATCTGGCAACACCAAAAGCAGAAGTGTAGAGATCTGGCAACACAGAAACAAGTTTCGAGAAGGACCATGTGTATTGACAGAAGGCAGGAAAAAAATTTACATACTTAAATACTAATAGTTCACAAAAATTATGCGGGAAAATCTAACCGTACGTACATGCTCGAATGAAAAATATCAAATGAGGTATCTTTCACACTTAAAAGCTTTATCATGTTTATTGAACTGTTGTACGGGGATTTCCGTAATTTCAAATTAGATGAAGTTCGCTTTTAATAGTTTTTATTATTGTACATTTCATGTTGTACGAGGGTTTTACCCAATTCTCGAACCATGTTAGAGTGAATCCATGCTATAGAAGTGCCGTGTTATATGGGGGTTACCTGTAGTATATTTATTTTATATTGGAAATTAATTGGAATATACTATTCACTCCTCATTTTACAATAGTTAATGAGTTTTTTTTAATACAATGAAGCATCAAAAATCTAGATCAGACCAAAATCCATAATTTCATTCTTGATGTTTTATTGGCTTGTGTTCTTTTTTCCTTGTGTTAATGTTCTAACATTCATTTAGAATTTGAAATTTTTAATTTTGAAATTAAGAACAGTTTATTTTTTTGTTTCAATATAGTGATTCTGCAAATTATATTTTGAATTTTTGTAACTATTCCTATACTCCTTGTGAAATATTAACTTGAATTTAGAATGCTTAAACTGCTAATTCACACATGTACTTGAAAATCCAGATAAGGTTGGTTCTAGTTATTCCAGGTTTTCAAAACTCAACTGTATTTAATAGATTAGAAAATTCATCTGGAAATATGTTTGAGATATGTATAGATCAAAAACTACACTAAATTTAAATAATAATTTTTATTAGTGATAATTATTAATTGGAAAATGTTAAAAATTCAAATTCCAGAATAGTGTTTAATATAAATTAATGTCAATTTAGTTTGAAGTCATAACTATATATTGAGATACTATATCAATTGATTGTGCAATTCTGTGTTAATTGAGCATTTTAATCATCTATATACAGTAGAACCTCGATTATCCGCCCCCCGATCAACTGACCCCTCGGTTAACCGACCGTCTTAGTCGGCAAATTTCAAATGTCCGCTAGTGATGTGGCGCTACAATATTTGGCTATGTCTTGGCTACTTTAATATTATTTTTACGTGTTTTAGCTGGCAACACTCATTCGACCATGAAAGGGAGCCAGTATTTAAACGAAGCTTAATTTTCTAATTTTTAACGATACAATAGCGACGATTATTATTTTAAAAAATTTTTGTTAGGCTTAACATCGATGAAAATTCAAC